CACTTCATGAATTCCACTTGCTGAATGATTACAGTGGAGCACTGTAACTTTGCTGTGAAAATAAATTAGCATTGCATTTTTTTTCCTGCCAATGTAAAACTGGTGCTGCTGTATGCCTTTTTATGGAAAAATCCCAAGTTTGATTGGTTGCTTGCACCCACTGGAGAAGGAATTAACCTGAGCACATTTTAGTTTTGTAACTGGATTAGCTGCAATTCATTTGTGCAATATCAACAAGTTGAGCCATCTTCAACACTGTTGTTCCTGCTGAACAGGTCATTGCAATCATGTCTTTCTTAAAGGAAGGGATCTCTCTTTTCCTAGCCATGGTGCTCAAAATGATATTCAATTGGGCAACATGGCTGATGTGTTTTTTTTCTTTTCCAGTTACCTAAAAAAAAATGCAACTTAGTACCAGCTCATACGTACCTCATTTTTTATAGGTGTAATTTGTCACTTATGGCCATTGTATATATGCAGCGGAGCTGTTTTGCAGACGAACACATCAGTGGTTGCATTTGCAAGGTATACAACCGAAACTACTCAGTCTTGTCCAAAATATTCCCTACTGTTTTCACCCTGAGAAATATTAATCGGAAATCAAAGCAAAATTCAGCACTGCTATATTTGCTATAAAACAAAGCCAGCAAACCGATATTGTTCTGTTGAAGATAATTTATAATTCAAGTATATTCAGCATCTATAATTGAAGAGCACAATGGAAAAATGATCAGAGTCACATTTTCACGTTGTGGAGAAATGATGAATGAATAGAAACAAAGCACTGAAAAACGAGTGGTGCCAGGCACAACAAACCCCGCCCCTCGCACATACTTTGAACTACTTTTCCGAAATTCAATAGGCATCTATTCTGGGTCAGTGGCAATCCCTAAACCGAATTTGGGGTGAATCTGGCCATTAGTTTTGCTGCTAAAGTGTTAACTAACAAACAAACACAGAAACAAACACACAAACATACAAACAAACACAGAAACAATCTGAACCAAAAACAATACCCCTTGCCCTCATCCTTCAGGTGGGGCTGGGTAAATATGCAAAAAATAGAATATATATAAAATATTATAATTCTATGTAATATTATTATATATTATTTTAAATATTATAATAATATATAAAATATACAAAAAAGGAAAACTTGGACTCTGATTGTTTTTCCTTTGTGGTCTTCAATTACATCTTATACAACCAACCCCAAAGACAGTGTTGAGACATGTTAGATTTGATCATATTCAAATTCACATTGCGATTGGAATATACATAACATATACAAATTAACAGCATGATGACGACTTCATATTTAGACATTCAAAGAACAACATATTTCAATGGAGAGTGACACTTTATTTTTACTGTGGGTTTCTAGTGTAACACATGGAAGGAAAAAATGACATTTTTTCAGAGCAAAAAATAAATGAAATTTTTAAAAGACCGTTGATCATTGTGTGGAATAAAATTTTCATTTCTAACCTGTTGTCGGGTATGCATGCAATGACTGCTTGAAATCTGTGATGCTTTAAGGTATCACCAGACCCTCGGCAATTCCCCTGGTGATGCTCTAACAGATCTGTACTGTAGCCAACTTCAGTTCCTGCTTGTTTTGGGAATTTCATGCCTTCAGACTCCTCTTTAGCTTGAAAAAAGTAAAATAAAATAACGCATTTGAATTGGATTCAGATCTGGTGATTGAATTAGCCAACAGAACCAAAAAAAACAAACAAAAAAAACAACAACAACATCAGTGTTGGTGTCCAGTCAACGGAGCTCACGGAACATGGCAGTTTATAGCCATCTGCCTTGTGTATACAAGTTCCACAAGATGGCGCTAGTATGAATTATGTGTGGGTGCGTACCACAGAACATTTTTTCATTATTGTAAAAAAATGCTGAGCATACAAAAGAGGCAATGACATGCATGAACCTAAAGATACAACATGAAATTGAGCACAATGCAATGGGTCTAGTCACACAAGGTTATATTGTTCTACTTATTGTTGAAGCTTCTGTGCTATTTCTTTGTCATTTGACCAAAAGATTTCAAGGATAACCACTGTTCATTCTTAAGAATAAAAAACTCTGGTGGGGTTTTGATTTATATTGGGGAACAATTGGCTAATAATAAAATAACAAGAGTTAGGTCCTCCATTGCAAATTGAGCATTATTTCAAGTAAAAAATACAACCCCAATATAATACAATTCCAAAAAATTTGGGATTCTGTGTGAAATGTAAATAAAAACAATGCAATGATTTGCAAATCTCATAAACTGACATTTTATTCACAATAGAGCATAGACAACATTTCAGATGTTGACACATTTTACCATTTCATGAAAAATATTAGCTCATTTTGAATTTGATGGCAGCAACACATAACAAAAAGGTTGGGATAGGGCCATGTTTACCATTGTTTAGTATCCCCTCTTCTTTTAACAACAGTCTCTAAACATCTGGGAAGTGAGGAGACCCATTGCTGAAGTTTAGGGAGAGGAATGTTGTCCCACTCTTGTCAGATGTAGGGTTCTAGCTGCTCAACAGTCCTGGGTCTTCTTTGCCGGATTTTTCGCCTTATGATGCACCAAATGTTTTTAATTAGTGAATGGTCTGGACTGCAGGTAAACCAGTTCAGCAATCAGACTCTTCTACTGCAAAGCAATGCTCTTGTGATGGATGCAGTATATGGTTTGGCATTGTTTTGCTGAAATATGCAAGGCCTTCCCTGAAAGAGACGTCTGGATGGGACCATATGTTATTGTAAAACCTTTATATACTTTTCAGCATTGATAATGCAGATGTGTAAGCTCCCCACGCTATAGGCACCAATGCAACCCGATACCATCAGAGATGTAGACTTTTTAACTGTGCGCTGATAACAAACTGGATGGTCTCTCTCCTCTTTAGACCGCACGACATGATGTCAGTGGTTTCCAAAAAGAATTTCAAATTTTGATTCATATGACCACAGAACAGTTTTCCACTATGCCTCAGTCCATTTTAAATGAAAGTTTCTGGATTGTGTTCACATATGGCCTCTTCTTTGCATGATACAGCTTTAGCTTGCATTTGTAGATTGCACAGCGAACTGTGTTCACAGACAATGATTTCTGAAAGTGTTCCTGAGCCCATGCAGTGTATTTCAGTGCAGAATCATGCCTGTTTTTAATGCAGCGCCGCCTGAGGGCCCGAAGGTTACAAGCATCCAGTATTGACCTTCTCTGAATCTTTTGATGATATTATGTACTGTAGATTCAAAGTCTTCGCAAGTTTACACTGAGAAACATTTTTTCTGAAAATGCTCCACAATTTTTAGATGCGGTTTTTTGCAGATTGGTGAGTCTCTGTCCATCTTTACTTTTGAGAGACTCTACCTGTCTAAAATGCTCTTTTTATATACAGTCATGTTACTGACCTGTTGCCAATTAACCTTGGAAGTTGCAAAATGCTCCTCCAGCTGTTTTTTATTAGTACCTTTTACTTTTCCAGCCTTTTGTTGCCCCTCTCCCAACTTTTTTGTTATGTGTTGCTGCCATCAAATTCAAAATGGGCGAATATTTTTCATGAAATGGTAAAATGTCTCACTTTCAACATCTGAAATGTTGTCTATGTTCTATTGTGAATAAAATGTCAGTTTATGAGATTTGCAAATCATTGCATTCTGTTTTTATTTACATTTTACACAGCATCCCAACGTTTTTGGAATTGGGGTTATAAAATAATGAGTGGTTCTTGTATGATTAATTAAAATTGGATATTTTATGTAGGAAATATGTAGTCTTGTAGTGCTTTTTGAAAAAATATGATTAATTAGGGGCCACCGGCCAATTACGCTATTGCTACTGTATGTTTTCTTTATTATTATTGCTTTTATCATACTGTACTGGGAGTCTATGGCAAAAGAAATGTGGCTTTTTTTAAATTTGAAGCAGTGACATAAGGTTGTATCTTCTATCCAGACAGCTTGGTTCTGTCAGTTATGTCAAGCTGCCCGGGTCCTGAAATGGCACTGCAGCCCTAGGCCAACAATCCCACCACCATGTTTGAGTGTTGGTATGATGTTCTTATTTTAGAATGTTGTGTTTGCTTTACATCAGGTGTAACGGGAACAATGTCTTCCAAAGAGTTCCACTTTTGACTCCTCAGTGCAGGGAATATTATCCCAAAATTTTGCTGGGTCCTTAAGATGATAGCAAATGTGAGATGACCCTTTTTGTTCTTCTTGGTCAGCAGTGGTTTTCGGCTTGTGGCTCTCCCATGAATGACATTTTTGCCCAGTCTTTTTCTTATTGTGGAATTGTGAACACTGACCTTAAGTGTTGCAAATGAGGCCTGCAGGTGTCTACATGTTTGTCTCGGTTCTTTTATGACCTCCTGGATGAGTTGTTTATGTGTTGTGTTCTGGAAGGTTTACCACTGTTCCAAGATTTTATGTTGGTAAATAATGGCTCTCAGCATGGTTTGCTGGAGTTCCAGAGCCTTAGAAATGGCTTTATAACGCTTTTAAGACTGATCGATACAAAAACTTTGTGTCTCATCTGTTCTTGAATTTCATTAGATCGCAAAATCATGAGCTCCTTTTTGTCTACTTGACATTTACAGACAGGTTCCAATTAAAGTGATGTTTAAATTCAGCAGGGCTGGCAGTCATCGTGCCTGGATATGTTCAGTGAAGTTGAACGCAGGTATAATTGCATTTGTTTATTTGGTTGATTTAGTAACTACGGAGGCAGTTACTTTTTCATAAAGAGCCACGTGGGGTTGGATAGCTTTTTTCCTTCACTAAATTAATCATCATTTAAAAACTGATTTATGCTTACACCTGGGTCCACTCTGTCTAATATGAAAATTAATTTGATGATCTGAGACACTGAACTGTGAGACATATGCAAAAACAGAAAAAGTTGGGAGGGGAGCAAATGCTTCCTTACAGCACTCTGTTCTACTCATTGTACTGGCAAATTTTGCTTGGTGTATTACAATTTGGGCGGCACAGTGGCACAGTGGTTAGCACTCACAGCTAGAAGGTCTTCGGTTCGAATCTGGCCTGTGGCGTTTCTGCGTGGAGTTTGCATGTTCTCCCCATGTTCGCGTGGGTGCTCCGGTTTCCTCCCGCAGTGCAAAGACATGCTCCAACCAGGCTGATTGGAGAAGCTAAATTGCCCATAGGCATGAGTATGAGAGTGAATGGTGCGTGAATGGTGTGTGCGCCCTGCGATGGATTAGCGAGCTGTCCAAGGGTGGGTCCCTGCCTTTCGCCTGTAGTCAGCTGGGATAGACTCCAGCTCCCCCTGCGACCCTAGTGAGGAAGAAGTGGGTATAGAGGATGGATGGATGGTATTACAATTTCACCCAGGGTAACACTGCAGTTAATAAAAATGGTATAGTGGCAATATCTAGACAGCCATTTGGCCCATTTACATGAATCTTTTTATTCTACTCCAAATGTCATTCTACAAGTAATTATGATGATTCAGTTGAGCCTTTCAGCTCATTATATCTGCCATTTTGAATTTCATCAAAAACAGTTTTTGTTTCTCCTCATGAAATTTTTCTGAATTCCCGTGACATATGGCTCAAATCATATCAAGCTCACCTTCATTTTGGCGCTTCCTTTTCTTATGGATATGTCAAACCTTATGCTAGTGACGGCCAATTAAATTTTTCAGGGCGTGGCCTTAGGTGACTTTATCAAGCATAACTTGTGACTAGAATTTTTCATTTTGTTTTAAAACTCTCAAATGTAAAAATCACATTGTACTGACAGATTCTGCAAAGTGTAGTCTCATTTCACCTGTAGATGGCACTGTATTTAATAAAAATGGGAATTGGGCAATGCGTAAACAGCCATTTGGCTACTGACATGAATCCTTTTTTATTTGATTCCAGACATCAAAAAACAAGTAACTATATTGATTAAATTAGACATTTTAGCTGATTTTAGCTGCTATTTTGAATTTTATCAAGAACTTTTTTTTTTGCATTTCCTCAAAAAATTATTTGCCCAATCACCACCTAATGCAGGGGTGTCAAACAGGTAGGTAAAAAGGCCGAGGGGCTGCAGCTCCTAAATCCAGCCAAGCAGAAGGACACCTCATACGACTAATCTAATCAACTGATGTCAGCCTGCTCAGTTGATTAGTTGTATCAGGTGCGCTTCTGCTTGGTTGGAATGAAAACCTGCAGCCCCTCTGCCCTTTTATGGACTGGTTTGACACCTCTGACCTAATGAGTCACCAATCTTGTCAGACCCACCTTGATATTGGCTGATCCTCTTGTTGATATGTCAAACCTAATGCATGAGACAGAGCATTTAATTTTGAGGGGGAGGCCTGAATTGACGTTATCAAGCATAACTCATGAGTGTTCTATTGTGGTAGAACCTCCCATACTTAATCAGTACATTGTACTGACAAATTTTGCTATGTACAGTACAATTTTGCCCATCCATTCACTGAAGAATAATTATTTGTTTCTAAAAATAATTCACCATTTATTCCAAAGGGATGTAGAGTGAGGTGTAAAAAAATGGCCACATGGTAGTTTCCAGAGCAAAAGGACTTGCTGAGGAAACTCTGAAAGTAAAGTTGGAATGATTATTTGGTAACACTGAAATCAAAAGACATGATGAGTAAATCCCTACATCTTCTTAAAAAATGTACTAGTTTTCAAGTTTGCAAAATATTTACATCACTTTCAATATTTAATCTTAAAGGGGACCTATTATGCTGATCCTTCTTTTAATACATATAAGTAATGTTATAATGTTGGTTGTCCATACTGAACCTCTGTAAAGTTTCTAAACATAAGATACAGGGGTTTTGCCGTAATCCAAGAACGTGATTTCATGAACGTGATTTCCTCTCTGAACAGCTTGTCCTGAGATCTTCACGAGATCTGGGCAAAACCTGACGTCAGGTTATGCCGTCCAATTAATACAGACCTAGCCAGAGCCAATCACTGCGCTGGACCTGCCCATTCCGGAAACTATTCTAGCAGGCACAAACAACAGCAGATCATACTATGCCTTATAGGGTCTACACTTCCAGAAATACAAAAGAAGAACCGCAGATCATTTGAGGTGCAGTTTTGTGAGTATCTCTCCCAAAGCTGCTCGTCCGTTTATTTTTGGATGCAAAGAAAAGCACCTATTTCTCTTCCAAAAGACGATCCCACCAGAAATCAGTGGGTAGCTTTTTTGTTTGCTGGCAGCTAACAGCAACGGCCAAAGGGAACGTTTGCTGTTTGTGCTTGGCATTTCACCAAAGACAGCTTTTTCAATAATGGATAATTCGACACTGGATAAGCCGTTCAGCTGCTTCTCAAAGTATACTCCCAAAGCTGCTTGTCCGTTTATTTTTGGACATGAAGAAAAGCACCTATTTCTCTTCCAAAAGATGATGCCACCAGAAATCAGTGGATAGCTTTTTTGTTTGCTGGCAGCAAACAGCCACGGCCAAAGGGAATGTTTGCTTTTTGTGCTCAGTATTTCACCAAAGACAGCTTTTTCAATAAAGGATAATTCGACTCTGGATAAGTGTATCAGCTGCTTCTCAAAGTATACTCCCAAAGCTGCTCGTCCGTTTATTTTTGGACGAAGAAAAGCACCCATTTTTCTTTCAAAAAGTGATGCCACCAGAAATCAGTGGGTAGCTTTTTTGTTTGCTGGCAGCAAACAGCCACGGCCAAAGGGAACTTTAGCTGTTTGTGCTCAGCATTTCACCAAAGACAGCTTTGTCAATAAAGGATAATTCGACGCTGGATTAGCGTTTCAGCTGCTTCTCAAACCTGAAGCAGTTGTATCGATCAAGCGCTCGGAGCCACAAGCTGTAAGTAACGATATAACATCAAATAATGTAAGTGAAGCTAACGTGTTACGGGTGGCTAGCAGGACCGCTAACGATAGTTAGCACCAACAACTGGCCTCAAACACAGGCTTTGTAAAATATTTGAAGATAAAGCAGCCTGTATCGGTCGCGACTGTCCGCGACACACAGATGCTGAAGCAGTTGCTTTATTGCATAAGCCTACCTAACATGATAGCCAGTTGAATGTGGCTGTAGCACAGCGGCTAACGTAGCCAAGTTACTGTTGCTTATGTTTGTGTCCTAAATATGCAAGAGTAATATTGGGGGACATTCAACAGAAGGTGTGTGAACATAGCTTTAACGGAAATCCAATCACTTTAATGGTGATTCAATGGTATCTGCGTGAAAGCCCAGCTGTAGTTCACGCCCACGTGAAATTCTCCTGGTAATTACCAGTTGGTTGACACAATTTTTATCCAATCGCAGACAGTATAAGCTTTCCTCAGTAAGTGAAAAACATTGATTGGACCTTAAAAAAACATATTAAAATACTTGCGTAATAGGGTTACATTAACTTTACGCAGCTCAGACTGACGTGGTTGCATGGAAACAAAAAACCTCCAGAACTGAGCCTGGAGAGCTGAGCTCATTTGCGGAATGGAAATGTGATTCTGAGATGGAAAATAGCAGTTATTATGAATGGAACAGACAGGAGGGCTGACAGCATTGATACTTTTGAGGAGCAGCTCAATAATTCTATTGAAAAGTGAGTAAATCTGTCTTTGTATGGTGTAGCTCCACCTTACTTTTAGCCTGCTAGTTAACTAGCAGCTATTTCTTATTTTTGGTTTACCACCGAGATCACAGAGCTAGTTTATCATATTGGGTAACAAAAGAGTGGTCGATACTGCAGTGTGCTGGCATTTTTCTTAACTAGGCGATCAGTTTTAGAATTTATACCACATTCAATGAAACGGAATGCCTTGCATCTTTTAAAGTGCGAGCAGCTATTACTGTGACCTGAGTTATGCTTGTTCCATAGAGGGTGTGAAAAGCGTACAAGCTTACTTCTCGATGGGATGATCGGAATTGTAAACAGCAAGCTTTCCGTCTGAGTGAACGATCTGACCGTAAGCTCTAATGAGTATGTGTGCTTGCTGACGCGGCTTTATTGATAAATGGACGAGACTCTGAACTTTATCGCGGAAAAAAGGCATGTTTCTGGTTTGGAGAGGTCATTGATGTCCAGCTGCGCCTATATTGATAAACTCATGCTAAATTCAACCAGAAAATCATCCATTCATATTGAACTTCATGAGTACAAAGTTGATTTGCATTAAACATATGATTATTTTTTGAATTGAAAGTGCGCCATTTTCAAGGCTCTGGGAGTTTGGGGAGCCACCTGGATAGCTATCTTATTAGGCTTATAAAAAGTGGATTACTTAATATTTCATGTTCAGATGAGGAGTACTTGTGGTCTAGGAGTTTATTATCCCAGAAGTGTATTGTTTTAACCCCCAGCCATTTTTCAATCTTCAGAATTTTTTTTTTTTTACAGTTTCAATGGTGAATTCTCATGAAGATTTTTTATGTTTGCAGCCCATTTTCTCTACCAAAATCATGAAAATAAACTGAAATACGATGTAATTCTAAATGCTGTAAGTGTCTTTTCTGAGTTGAGCCACATTCACCCTCTTTATAAAGCTTAAATCTTGAATTATAAAGCATCAAATTGGGTAACCCTTAAATAGCCAAATTTGGCTTCTGTGCAAAGGGGTTAAAAATGCTCCTGGTTCACTTATATGCTGTAATTCTGATTGGTATGCTTGTGTTACTTCAGTAAGCATCAATGTGGCAGTTTCATCGAAACGTTGCCTGATTGTAGCCACTACAGTTGAAGCTAACTGGAGAGGTGCTGTAAAAGGCTGCAGTTTGACCAGACGTAGGTTTTGCAGAGCTTGGGGTACGTGTTTGGGTGCTTGTGAAACGATCATTTTACTTATCCACGACCGGGTTCAGCCAGACACTGCACCAATATCTGGGCTAGCTCTCTGATGCTACCGTGGTGAAAGCAATCGCCAAATGCACAAGCTATAACTTGTCTGGTATAACAAACGATTTCTCTGCTTTGCCATAGTGTAATTTCATCCCCCTTTAGAAATTGTTCTGGCTAATAAAATGCCGAAAAAGGCGAAGATTGAATACAATTCTTTCCCGTAGAAGTTATCGATTCGCTAGCTCCAC